TCCATGCCCTTCTTGTGCTGAGGGCTCCAGAGCTGGACGCAGTACTCCAGGTGAGGTCTCACCAGAGCAGAGTAGAGGAGCGAGAAAGCCTGGGCCCGGCTCTGTGCTTAGGCCTGTCCTTGGCTGCCAACGGAAGATGTTCCCGCTGGGGAGCCCAAGCGCAACGAAAGCCTCGAGAGCAACGTGCCCGGTCCGGCTCGTCACGTCCTGGTGAGGGGACGGACGGTGATGCAGGGCTGCTGCCCGAGAGCGCTCCGCTTTGTTCCTCTGCTAAATTTAAAAAGGTCAGCTAACAACGAAGGAGGGACCAGGTCAGCTAACAATGAAGGAGGGACCGGGCAACCAAAAAGGTTCAGAATAGAAACGGGAGCCTCTCTGCTCGACTCCCTGAGCCAGTGTCCCCACGCAGTTGCCAAGAAACTGTTGCTGTTTGGCAACCAAGTTAATGGCCAGTGTGACATGACTTGACTGATGTCCAGCGGGGGGGGGGGGAAGTCTGTCTGACACTAGTGGCAAACACTTGCCTCCTTTATTTACATGAAGTAAATACTAATTCATATTCATTAGAAAAATGCTTCCTTTCTCTTCCAGGGTGATGAGCGAGGGGGAAAGAGGGGACACAAAAGCCACCCTTGGAACAGCCAGGTTTTAGAGCAAGTATCAATTCATACTGACATATGACACAGGGACAGACTTGATTGCGCCCCACACTGCACAACCCCCTGCTGCTGCCTCGACCAATTCTTGCAAGCCAGGGCCGCGCAGCTTCTGCGCTTTCGCTAGCTGGGCATTGCTGCAACCGTGGCAAACCCGCTGCCTGCCGTTCCAGCCACGGCAACCCGGGGGGAGGAAACCGAGCCCCTGCACCATCGCCTGATGCTAGATTACACCCCAGCATCTTCACGTCCCCCGTACCTCCTAGACCCTCCAGAGCTTCTGACGCTCTCCGACACGCGCATCTGGGCTACCATTCAGAAATGTCCCGCCCACATCTACTGCCAGGGCTCTTCAGGGTGTTGCTACACCGGTAACACCTTCGCCCTGCCCACGAGCCAAGCATCCGTAGCTGTCCTGCTCCAAATCCAGCTTTTCCTTGTTGAACCCCACTTCCAGGCTGCCTGCTCCACCTTAAGATGCCTCAGTCTCAACCAAAAGGCTTTAGAAGCTCATAGGATTTACTCCAAAGGTAATTCCTAACCCTCCCTTGCCCCTTCCTCCTCTCACAGCATTCACAGCATTAGTCCATATTTAGACAGGAATATTTCCAGGGCACAGATGGGTTCTTGCCAGTCTCAGAGGGTGACACAGAGCATTCCTCCCAACTCCAAAACGTGCCTGTTCATTTCATCTTAGCCTGTTACGCTGGCAGTTTCAAAAGCAACATATACACAGCACTCTTAAATCAACAGAACCCTTTTCCTGCAAGAAGATTTTTTTCCATCTCAGAGATGACACTGTCCATGATAATGTGGATTTTTTTTTTTCAAGTAATTTCTTTTTGCTATTTGCACCCAAATTCCACCTAAGACAGCAGCATTCTCTGCATGAGGAGCCCTGGATATAGGTGTGTGGCTTTTCAACATCAGAGTTAACCTACTGTTATATCCAGTGCTGCAAAGTCCTCCCAGCAGTGCTTCCGACTCAAAGAGGACATTGAATCCAGGCTTGAGAGTACCTGGATAAAGTGAACGGCAGCATCTAATCCAGCCTTATCCTAAACCTGCTGACTTCAGAGAGCGCAGGAGTGACACGATACTGAACCTCCTTCTGGCACTTCTGGCTCTGCACCCCCACAAGCAAAGTCCTTTTTCCTTACAGGAGTCCACCTTGTTGCTATTGACCTCTCCATGTCCATGAGCCCTCCGAGCCATAGAACCATTTAGGTTGGAAAAGACCTTTAAGATCATCAAGACCAACCATTAACCTAACCCTGCCATCCCACCACTAAACCATGTCCCTAAGCACCTCGTCTACCTGTCTTTTGAATACCCCCAGGGATGGGGACTCGACCACTTCACTGGGCAGCCCGTTCCAATGCTTGAGCCCCTGCTAAGGGCAAAGCCCAGGGCCTGGGAAACCTGCGCCCAAGGAGCACTGCTGCAGCCACGATGGACTCAGCATAGGCACCATCTCCCTGACAGGGGTTTCTTATTCTCTGCTGAGAACCAAGAGACATGATACCTTTTTCTGTACAAGCAGCAACTCGATACATCAGGCTGACTATAGGGGGGGAAAAAAAAAAAAGAAACCACAGAATGAGGGAGCAGAAAGTATCAGGTCTACAGGAGATATATAAAGCTCAGCTCATCTGCAACGCGCTGCCTCAGCTTTGCGGCACCAGCAGCCACTGCCGCCGCCTCCGCACACAGCGGGCTCCCAGAAGGTTACAGATACCATAAGCACAAACAAAAATCACGATTCCCTGGTTCCATGCACGCTCGCGCCCACGGGGTATCAGCTGCTGTCAGCCAAGGGAGGGATGGAAAAAATCTTGCTGCTGGGGTGTGGGGGGGGTGTTTGTCCCCTGAGATGAGTGGGATTTTTTTCTCCTTCCCTGTAATTTCCTTTCATTACAGGAAAAATGATGAGAGCTCTTCCCTTGATGCAAAGCTGCAGGAAACCAAATCCAAGCGTCCCTTTGCAGCTTCCCACTTGGCTAGCTTTATCGTGCTCAGCACACGCTGTGGCCAGGGCTACCCAAACCGTCGCCAACCAGGAAGGCGCAATAACAATGTCCCAGAAGCATCTGCTATTTACATAAAGGCAGACTTACGTGTGGTTAAACGAAGGTTACAGTGAAGGACAAGCAGAAAAATCTGAAAGAGGAGAGCAGAGGGAAAGGAAGGAGGGGAAAAAAAAAAAGAAAAAGCCTTTTCTGGCTTTAGATTGTCTTGCAGAAAGGAATCAAGGTCCATCTTAAACCTTTTGGGGCAGGTAGGAGGCTCCAGCGCATTTCCCTGTGCAGTGATTCAAGTCTGCCTTTATTCCCAGCTGAGCTTAAAGAAAAAAAAGCCACAAGGGTGAGTGGCCACGAACAAGAAAAAGAAAAAATGGACTTTTACTGTTTTTTCCCCTCATGCTTTGTTTTTATAAAGGATGGTAGGAGCAGCCCACCCAAAAGCCTTTTATCTCAGGAGGTGATTTAAGCTGGAAACGGGTACCTGTAATTAACTTGCATTCCAGAAGGGGAGAAGTTAACTTATTTGGCTTTTCTTCATGCCACATTT